TAAAGTACAACATGGTATTAGCTTTGTGTATATAAAGTACAACATGGTATTAGCTTTGTGTATATAAAGTACAACATGATAATAGCTTTCTGTATTTAAAGAATTACAACACGATACTAACTTTATGTATTCAAAGAATTACAACACGATATTAACTTTATGTATTTAAAGAATTACAACACGATATTAACTTTATGTATTTAAAGAATTACAACACGATATTAACTTTATGTATTCAAAGAACTACAACCTTTGTGTGTTTAAAAACTACAACATGATATTAGCTTTGTGTAGAACTACAACACTATATTGGCTTTATTTATTTCAAGAACTACAACCTTTATGTATTTAAATAACTATAACATGACATTAGCTTTGTGTATTTAAAGAACTACAACATGACATTAGCTCTGTATATTTAGAGAGGTACAACTAGATATTAGCTTTGTGTATTTAGAGAAACACAACATGATATTAGCTTTATGTATTTAAAGAAGTACAACATCATGATATTTTGTATATATAAAGAGCTACAACATGATAATCGCTTTATGTGTTAAAGCTTAATTTGTGTAAACCAAGTAAGAACCAAAACTGGCATGTTTAAAATCGGAACTCAGATAACACATATATACGCGGCTACTACGTAATTTTAAATATACAAATACATGCAAGTGATTAAAACCGCTTTAAGGATTGAACATGCCATTTTTCTCTTATAAATTTAAACATCTTTTTTTTCTAGTTGCTTGTTAAAATCGTGATTGATTCCTATAAACTGTAACAAACTAAGCTGTTGGACTTTAGAGTGTAAATGTTTGTAGTTTTTCATCTTATATTTAGCCTGTATGTCTTTTATCAATCTCAACTGAATCAAAGGAAAAGCCTTGTGCATATCGTTATAATGTGACTTTTTGCAGACTTAGGCTTGATGGATATTCACAGTGAAGAAGGGATTGAGCTAAATCCAACTTATTCCTTTCTTCAACTACGTTTTAGAGAGTTTTATTACAATGAACTAAGTTACCGTACATACATAGAATAGAAGTAACTGTAATTCTAATGTGTTTCATTCAAGACAGCGTGTCTAAAACTATCGTTTTTGTTTGCTAGCTGCAAAGTTGTTTCGTTGTAACCTAACTTGCAAGGTTGTTTTATTCATATTTATGGATAATCCTTCCGTACTGTACCCCGCTAGCTCAGCACTTGGTTCACGGACTTACAGTGCTAAAATCCGGGGTTCGATTCCCCTCGGTGAACACAACACAGATAGATCGTTTCTGTTTGCTAGCTGCAAAGTTGTTTCGTTGTAACCTAACTTGTAAGGTTGTTTTATTCATATTTATGGATAATCCATCCATACTGTTCCCCCGCTAGCTCAGCACTTGGTTCACGGACTTACAGTGCTAAAATCC